TGCACAGTCTTTTGGATTTTCAAAATACTCAAACACATCATCTGTGAATAGTCCATTTATCCTTTTCCTCTCAAATCCTGCTGCCTTTAAACTTCTTTATTCTTCTGATTACACTAAATATGAGATCCTGTGCAAGTTTGAATAGAGGTGATTACAGTCTACATCTTATTTTATACCCAGTCTCTCAGGGAAAGTTTTCTCTTTCTCCCCTTTCTCCCTCCCTCCCTCCTTCCTCTCCTCCTCCTTCTGCCTCCACCCCCTCCCTCTTTCATACAATTTCCCTCTTTAGTCCTGGCTGGCTAGCCTGGAACTTGCTATACAGAACAAGGCTAGCCCTTAAACTTACAGCCATCCTGCTGCTTCTACCTCCCGATAGGATTGCAGGTGTGTTCCACCACATCTGCACAGCTGGAGGGAAGTTTTGGTAGTAACAAGAGAGACGTGTTTGTGGGCTTTTAGATGTGCCTATATATGGTAGATTAAGTTAGTTGATTTCTATGAGTTTGCTTTCTATTTGGCTATTTGGTGAGATAGTGGAAACTTTAGTATTACACACACACACACACACACACACACACACACACACACACACACAAGAATGCACATACACACACTCATATTTATAAGTATATTTTTTTTTTTGCAGTCACCTCTCAAATAAATGGTGTGTGCTCAGTTTCTTAATTTAGGTTATATATTTGGGGACACTTAAAATAAGATACAAGCTATACAAGCCATCCAGTAAAATGTGCATGTAAAAGGAGTAGGCTGTGGGCGACAACTTTCAATCTGGTGAGGGTGACAGCGGTACTTGTTACTCAACAGAGATTTGCTTCAGTGATGTGGCGTGCTCGGTTACACTTCAACACTGTGATCAACGTAAAGAGTGTGTTTGTCACCCACACAGATGGGGATTTGGTCCTACCATCAGAAATTCAGCTCCAAGCTTTACATGGTTATCAGTTAATTATTATTCCCGTTAGAATAATGATGAAATGAAAGTGGAGGAGAAATAGCCTTAAGCTTTTGTGTTGCTGTTCTGAGACAAGGTGTCACTTGGTAGCCCTAGCTCACAGAGTCTAGGCTAGGACTCATTGTCCAGGCTAGGCTGGTCTTGCACTCGTGGAAATCCTCCAGCCTCTGCCTTCTGAGTCCTAGGATTACAGTTGTGCGCCACCACTCTGGCCAGGCTATAGTAAGTTGGACTAAGACTTAAGAGAGCCTGACCATTATGTTGACCAGATGCTGAAGGGTTTGGATGAGAAGTGAGAGGTAAAATGAGTTTGTCTTCTACTCAGTGAGAAACCAAGTGGCGTATAAACCAGAGGAATGTAATGGCCAGGTGTTTGGGAAGCTCCCCCTGAACGAAGTTCACTGTGAGAAGGGCAGGGAGATCCTTTAGGAAGCCATCATAGTGATGGAGGGTAATATGGGAACCAGGGCAGGAGCTGTAGCAGGGGCAAAGTGTGTGTGCGTGTGCGTGTGCGTGTGCGTGTGTGTGTGTGTGTGTGTGTGAGAGAGAGAGAGAGAGAGAGACAGAGAGAGACAGAGAGAGACAGAGAGAGACAGAGACAGGCAGAGACAGGGACAGGAACAGAGACAGACAGAGACAGAGATGGAGACAGAGACAGAGAGAGGGACAGAGACAGAGACAGGGTGAGGGGTATTTGAAGACAATGGCTGGGCACAGGGAGGAACAAGTAGTAGTGACTGAACAGATGTGTGGACTGAAGAGGAGAAAAGAGTTTCTTGTTGAATAATGGTTTAAATGTTTTCACTGGGGTTGCTGCTCTTTGAACAGGGAGCCCCCTGGTGGCAAAAGAGAACCAAGGTGGGGATTCCTCTCATACAGGGCACTGGTGGGCTGTTCTGAGACACATTGCCTACAACCATAGTTACAATATTATAAAATAGGGATGCCCCTCATTTTTGGTGTAGCAAAGAGACATATTTAAGAATAGCTGAGAGCTAATTAATTGTTGATAATGGACCAGGAAGCGGGATCTGATCACAACCTTGAACTGTTCAAAGGAGGTAGATACTAGCCAACTTCTTTCTCCAAGAAATCTCCATGTAGTTGGAAAAGATTAGCTGGAGTCTGTAGCACTAAATTCAACACACACTAGGTACCTCTCCTGGGGATTATTGATCTTCTTTCTTAAAGAGCACAGCCGAGAAGTGAATAGAGACTTTGAAGCTGGATGATCTGAGTTTGGATGCTGGCTTCGCCACAATTGTGCCAGCATTAGTATCCTCCCCTGTCCATTGCTCATAACAGCACCTCAGTGGTTATGGGGATCCAGGTGATGGGTGTGAATCAAGGCTTCCTCTTCCTTAACAGCTGGAGGTGGTCCTGAGGATTCCCTCAGGTGCTCAGGTGATGGTCCTTTAGGCTAATCCATAAACATCTAATTTAAAATATGGTAATAAAAAGGGGGGCACTCCAAAACAACCTCAGAAAAGTTAGTGAACTGGTAGACCACTCCATTTTCCTGAGGCCAAGGACTGTAGCTGAGCAGGGATCCCGAGAGCTCTCCATCTGCGTGTTTTTTTTTTCCTCTAGGTGTTGAGCAGCCCTTGAATTTTCCAAAATTCCAAAACAGGTGTGCTACATAGGTCTGAGTCATCGACCAAGATGAGATATTTCAGAAACTTGCCATTTTAAGCCTTGGGCATGTTCCTGATTGAGTATAAATACCTTGCTTGCTATATAAATATGCAGAGTGCAACCTCTTGCTGAGCACTGCAACCGATGTGAGAAGCTAGGAAGAGCATAATCACATCTAGCGATTATCTTTCACCAATCCAGTCCCTTTGGATACTGGAAAGGTTTGCAGTGTTAAAGCTCATACGAGTTAGCATTTGAAATCACTGTAGCCCATTTTTTTCCTCTCCAGGAGCTCTGTGTGCACATGCATTAGTTGGTCTTATCCATCTGTAAGCTTTTGTAAGCTCCCTAATGAAAACAACTGCATTTTCAAGGCTTAATTGCATCTTATTGAGTGGTCTATCTCTCGTTCTGTAAATGTCCAATGATGAGAAATGTTCTGTTCATTAGAAACCACCAGCATGTGAGGGAGAGCTGGTGTTTTATTGACGTATCCAGAAAATATCATCCTAAAGGTCAGAAAATAACTATTGGAGAAGGAAAAAAAAAAAAGCCTCCCCTACTCCACTCCGCATAGACAATATTGTATTGAAAGCGAGAGTTTGACAAGACTAATCAATTACACACTTCATAAAGAAAACAGTTAGCAATTCCCTCCCTGTGTACTTGTGAGAGCATCTTCTCATTAGCTCTTTAGATTTTAAATTGCTTTGTAAGACGCAACAGCTAACATTTTGTGCTTTTTCTTGAGCTGCAGCAAACGTCTGCTGGATCCGAGGGAGGTGCTGACATGTGGAATGAAGAGTACAATGGAGTCTGCTCTGAGTGAGGCTGGTTTGGGGTACCCACCTCAAGAGGTAGGAACTAGAGCTCTGGCTTTCATGAAGTGAAGAAACCCATCCAAAGCCACTGCCCACTCCACTATCCATCCCCTCAGCCTCTCCCTTCAGGTTTCTGTAGTTTGGGGGAACATGGGCTGGCCTTTGTCACAGGTAGCCATGCTCCCAGATAAAGCACTAGGTACATTTTTTTTCTGATAACCCGAATAAGTCTGGATTGTGCAGACTTCTGTAAACAGAAGGCATCGGCTCTCCGGCTGGGAAATAGTTAAAAATTATACTTAAAAATACTTAAAAGTAAAATAATTGCTTAATTAACTCAATAAACATGAGTCTATATTTGTTTTACAATTATTTTCTATCATTAAGTATATTTGTTTTAAACTATTTCTATCATTAAGTATTATCTTGTAATTTAATATTTTTTAGGTTTCCCAAATACATTTGCCTTCGATATATCTGGGAAGACTTGTCCAAACGATCACAAATGGGTTACTTTTTGTCCAAGTGTTAAAATTATATCTACGTGGATATATATGTATGCGTGTGTGTGTGTGTGTGTGTGTGTGTGTGTGTGTGTGTGTGTGTGTTACTGCAACTGTTTTAACCAGACAGCTGCTGCCACGGAATAGCCAGGGGTATGCAGTTAATTAACAGATGCATTAATCTATGTGTGTTGTGAATTAGGATTTTTTAACAATTATACATGTGTATTTGCTTATTTGACATGTGGCCACTTTCTTCCTCAAGTTGGTTGAGCTGAGTTTAGATGTCTTCCCTGTGTTACTAGTAATCTGGAGTCATTTTTCAGTTATAGCTGCTTGGGAAATGGTACACACAATCAGTGAGGGTGTGAGCATCTCTACTGTATCTTTCCCTGTCACATGTGTGAGCTGGGTGTGTGTGCATATGTCCAGGTGACTGAACGAAAACAGGGTGTTTTTAACCAACTTGTCAATCTGAAAATCATGACTGTTATAGACTAGTAGTTAAAGATGTGTTACATTTATTTATGCTGTGGAACATTTGTTTAACAATGGAAAGATGTGCTGCATTCTTTCACGTTGCATTTGTTTATCTGTGAAGCTGTGTTACTGTGCCTGTCTGAAACACCTGATTGGTCTAATACAGAGCTGAATGGTCAATAGACAGGCAGGAGAGAGAGAAATAGGTGAGGCTGGCAGGCAGAGAGGATAAATAGGAAAAATCTGGAAGGAGAGATCAAAGAGCAAGAAAAGGAGGAGAGGAGGACATCAGGGCCAGACATCCAGCTATGCAGCAAGCCCTGGAGTAAGAAACAAAGAAAGGTATAAAGAAAGACAAAAGTCCAGAGGCAAAAGGTAGATGGGATAATTTAAGTTAAGAAAAGCGGGCTAGAAACAAGCCAAGCTAAGGCTGGACATTCATAAGAAAAGATAAGCCTCTATGTGTGTATTTATTTGGGAGCTGGGTGGCGGGCCATCCAAAAGAGCCAAAAAAGTAAAACAACAACAAGTAAAACCCCAACCCACTACACATGACAATCTGAGAATGAGCGCAGAATCGACTCTTACCTTCCGGTATCCCCAGAGCTGGTTCCCTTTCATGCCGTGACAGTCATAGAGCGTGACAGGGCTGCTGTGTGAGATTGCATCGAAGCAGAATTTTCGGGTGTGCAGAGGCTCACCGGGTCGAATATCTTCTCTCCACCCAAAAGTAAAGAGCTGGCAAAAGAACAGTAGCAGAGAAGCCGCAGTGAGTTCACATGGGGTGGGGGTGGGGGGTAGGGGGGGGAGGTTCCAGAGCATGGGGAGAGACGTCGTCGTCGTCGTGACAGTGCAGAGCTCCCATTTTGTGAATACCAGGAAGAAGTCTAGCTCAGCACAATAGAGGCATTGAAAGGGCATGCTTCAAAGGGCTCCCATTTTGTGAATACAGGGAAGACATCTATCTGAGCATGCCTCAAAGGGCTGTGACAGCTGTACCTGCGGCCAGACTGGTAAAAATGCAAGGGAGAAGTTTTCAGTTAGGAACAGGTAAGGAAGGGGAAAGGGGAGGGGTGGAAGGGAGGGAGGGAGAGAGAAAGGTATTTTGAAGGTGGGGGAAGAGGAGAGGGAAGGATGAAGGAGGAGAGAGGGGAGAGGGAGAAGAGGGGCTAAGAAGGAGAGGACAAGGAAAAGCCTTTAATAAAACTTTTAGCGTTTGCCACGTAGATAAAAGGTTCCTGGATCAGGGACTGCAGCGTTAGCCTAATGAGCAGATTAACTGCCAACGGACAAGACTTAAAGTTGAGCTGAATTGATGCTTGCACCTTGAAAAATCCAATTTAAAGGAAAGCTGAGCGCAATGGAGTAAAGAACAGGCAAATTAATTTTCTAGCATAGGTCAGAGGAATTCTGTGGGGCAATAGAGACAGTTTTGGATCGTAACTCACAATAAGATGTACAGTTCGCACTTATCGGTCCCTGACCTCCAACCTGAAACAGGAGTTTCATGGGATGATAGGTACCACAACTCCACTGAATACTTCAATTAATATGCCGTCCATCGTTTCCTATCCTCGCCTGGGTTATCCGTCTCACTCTATATTGCAAATGCTACTTATGACGTCCTAAGTGAACTTTACAATGGGCTCAATTAACAAACAGCATTCCTATTGAGAAAAAGAGCATTTTCTTGAGTTCCCTGAGCTGAACCACATTTGTAGGGTACGTCCAAGAAAGTCCTTAATTAAAGGAGAAGGCGGACCGGAGAAGCCTTGGGCTTTCTTCCTGTTCTGGTTCAGTAGGTTATGTAATTCTCAGACGAGCAAGGACTCTAGGAGGCAGACAGCTGTGTGAAGCAGAAGTGTCAGGGCCAATGTCTTACTGACTGACAGAGAGCAAGCGGAGTGGAGAGCTGTATGCAGCTAATGCCCTCACCACTGGTCTGGTTCTCCGTCTACTTGGGTTTTCAGATCCTACCGAGAGAATCTGGGGCAATTCCAGAGATGGCTAAGAGAAAACAGTTACGTGATGGGAATCTGAAAGCGACTGGAAGGACTAGGTGAAGTGGTCTAAATTAGGCAAAGAAATGATTGAAATCCAATACATGTGTGAAGGCATCTGAGTAAAGGTGGGTGTCTATGCTCTGTTCCCTTGAAAGGCAGGACAAGAGACCAGCTCAGACAGAACAAGGGGTGTCAGGTTGGGCACTTGTGATAGAGTCTTGAGCAGGAATTGTGTTCTCTGTCTGTCTGTCTGTCTGTCTGTCTCTCCTCGTTGTCTTAGGTCCTTCACACAGGAGAAGTGTCTATTTGTGCGGTTCCTAACTTTGAGCTCTCTTCTAAGGGGGCTACTCCCGTGGCTTTTGAAGTACCATGCTCCTCCGCAGTAACCGTCTTTCATCTGTCTGCTCAACATGGCGTCACCAGGGGGTGTCTGTCCTCCTTCTTTCCTGCTCGGGCTTAAATTCTCTCAGACCAGCTTTCACCGAAATGCTCTGAACCCACCAACCACGTTGGGTCTGGCTCCTGGCAGGATTTTCCGACCATGTCTCCCAGAGGACTCAAATTCAGCATATCCTGCACTCACCGGAGTTTCATTTCATGGCTAGCCTGTTCTCCTGTGATTTGTTTCAGCTGGTGGTAACGCCATTCATCTCGTCAGCCGTGGAGTCTCGGAACTTTTGCCTCCTCTTCTTTCCTCATCTAATTACCTGGCAAGTCTTACCAGCGTCTTTCTTCTTTGGCAGGACCGGGGATCGAGCCCACCGCCTCACACACACTGGGCAACCACCACACCGCTAAGACACATCTTGGCACTTTTGTTTCCTAAGCATTTCTGGAATTAGTTTCATCCTCCAACTCTTCACAAACGTCGTTCTCAACATCTCTTGTGTAGACTAGTGTCATAACCTGTTTCTGTTCCCAATTCTTTCCCGTACGTGTGTGTGTGTGTGTGTGTGTGTGTGTGTGTGTGTGTGTGTGTGTGTGTGCATACACACTCACTCTCATGGCGGTTCAGGGGTCAGAGGACAACCGTAGGTATTATTCTTTAGCCACTGTACACTTTGGTTTTAAAGACAAGGTGTCTCACTGCCTGGGACTTGCCATGTAGGCTAGACCGGCAGCCAGTGAGCGCTAGGGACGCTCACGAATGCTTCGCTTCCCCAGTGCTGGGACTAAAAGTGTGTGTGTGCCACCAAACCTGGCTTTTAAAATGGGTTCTGGGGCTTGAACTCGGGTCCTTGTGTTCGCAAAGAAACACATTCCATGAGCTGCTTCCCTAGCCCCTGCCAACCTTCCTGTCCTTGTCGCCCACGCTCCTGCCCCTCCTAGTGGACAGCGAAGTCGGTCTGGGATGCCCGTCTCGTTAGGTCTTCTGTCAGCCTAGAATCCTGCGATGGTTTTCCTCCTCAGTCTAGAAGTCCAGTCATCCAAGCAGCCTTCATTTCTTAACCGCTTCATCTTCTTCCTCTCTTTCCTCATTCCGTCATGACCATCCACTGGGTTTCCATATCGCTCACCAGGTCGTGAGACCCTTGGTGGCGGAGGGTGTCCTTTTAAAACTCACCTTCCCAGCGCCCAGAAAAGCACAGGTGCTCGATATGTTTGACATGTGTAACATGTACTAATTACCTCAACAGAAACTTGAAATAACTGTCAAGATAAATGACAATTAGTTTTAGTCTTTTTTTTTTTTTTTTTTTTTTAAATGGGCCCTACGGGCCTTCAACTCATCACATAGCCCAGGGTGGCCTTAAATGCCACATCCTCCTGCCTCAGCCTCCTGATGACTGAGATCATAGGTATGCCCTATTCTGCCTGGTTTCGATCAAGAAATCGTAACTGGTGTACCTATTTCTCTTTTGTCTCTGTTGCTGTGTGTGTTTGGGGGTGTTTGTTTGTGTGTCTGTTTATTTTGAAAGATTTATTTTGGCTCATGTTGGAGGAAACCCTCAATTACTGTAGAGAAGACACGCGGGCTGGTGTGTCTGTCAGGTTGCTGCCCACATTGCCTGTGCAGTCAGAGAGGGAGAAGCAGATGCAGAGATCCACAGCCAAGCACCAGGCTGAACTCCAGGATTCCAGTCGAAGAGAGAGAGGAGGGATTCTATGAGCAAAGGGCATCAAGATCATGACAGAGGAAACCAAACCAAACTAGTGGGAACTCATAAAATTTAGATCAAAGGCTGTGGAGCCTGCATGGGACTGGGCTAGACTCTCTGCATAGGAAGACAGTTATGAAGCTTGATCAGGACCCACCCTTAGGACATGAACTGGCTTTTTGGAGCCCAGTGCCTATGGTGGGTCACCTTGCACAGCCTTGGTGCAGGTCCAAGCCCCTCCCTCAGCTGAATGCACCAGGCTCTGCTGACTCTCCATGGGAGACCTTGCCTTGGAGGAGGTGGGAAATGGGGGTGGGATGGGGGGTTGGGGGGGGACGGGGGCAAGGCTAGGGGGTGGGAGGAGGGAGGGGAGTTGTGGTTGATATGTAAAATGAATAAAATTTCTTAATAAAAATACTTAAAAATAAATAAAATAAAAATAAAAATAAATAAATAAAGGATGCTAGAGGAGCATCTGCGTTCATCTCTCTCAGGATTGCTCAGCTCAGTCAAACCTCTCGGGAAAAGTCACACAGGTACCTCCTGAGGTGTGTTTCCTGGGTGACTCCAAATGCAGGCAACCAGACGTTTTAAACATTTTTATTTGCTTGTTAACTTTAGGGGGTGGGAGCTGAGGCAGAGGCTACGGAGGAGGAGCACACTGTCGTGTTTCTGCTCGGTCCCTCTCTCTCTCTCTCACATACTTGTTCTCTTTCTCGTTTTCCTCATCATCCTCTTCTTCATTCTTAGAGACTTCCATACAATGTGTTTTGATCATATTCGCCCTCCCTCGACTCTTCCTAGATCCACCAGAGAGGGAGAGTGATCAGTTGACCCGGGCTGCACTCTTATCTCTAAGATACACAGTCTCTCTCCATGAAGGGGGTGGGACTGTGTGCCCAGCTTCTCTCTCTTTGTGTCTTAGCTCATATATACCCGGAAGCCTAAAGATGAGAAGAGTTGTAATCCCTACCTATTGAAGATCATTCATTCGACAGAGCTGACTTCTGCCTCCAGTGTCCCGGCATCTTGAATTCCATTTCCTCCCACTTTTCATTACATGGATCCCTTAAGGCCCAAAGAATACCTGAGTGACAGCAAGTCTGTTTCTTAGATGTCGTCTACTGTCACATTTGTATCTGGGCACACCTAGGCGACCTTTGTTTCCTGTTGCTAGCTTTGTATTGATGGCCAGAAAGGAATTTTCATAAGGTATTCTGTATTGTTATTGCTACTTGGTGATTGCAATCCTGGGCCCTGGGTGATAAATCTTCAAATTATACCAATTGTTTTATTTTTCTGCACCTTCCAATAACTAATTTTCCCCCCTCTTACATCTTTGAAATGCTTCCTGTAGTCATTTATCTTCCTCAATGGCCATGTCAAGACGGATCATTCCTTAGACATGTTTTTCTCTAGAGCAGAAACCAGCAGACATGGTGAGGGCATCTCACTGTTCAGGGACTTAACTGTGACACTCACAATCTGCCTCCTACTCCTGGGCAGTTCTGACTAGCCAGAAGCATCTAGATTTATTTACTAAAAGCCCCGGATGCCTTTTGCTTTCTTTTCAAACCCAAACCATTCTTTTAAAAGTAAATGGATGTAAATTTCCCACCTTTCTTCTTTTGAGCGGTACTTTAAAATATAGATTTTGAGTCATGACCCATTTCCCTGCTTCTGTATTCGTGTGGCGTGTGTAATATTGCCCGGGTCCGGATTGTAATGTATTATACAAATAAATTCTCCAGATCGGAGCTGCAAGTATACTTATCTTAATCTGGCAACCCGATGAGACAGTTGAAAAACATTTTCTCTCTCTCTGTGGGTAGTTATATTTTATTTCATCGTTACGGAGTTTGCAGAAATCTGAGTTATAACAGGTTTCTCCCTACAGTTTGTATTCATCAGAATGCCGTTTTGAGATTCTCTCCCCCCCCCCCAAAGAAAAGGCGTGTGTCCTTTCTCTGCACGCATTGTCTTGTTTGGATTTCTGTTTTGTGTGTGTCCCCCTCCTCCAGATCTTGGAAAGAGAAAGTCTGTCGGCTTCCTCAGCAGGACCGCAAAGGCCTGCAAGGCTTCCTCCCAGCAGGAGCCCAGAGCCTGCTTGCTGGGCCTGCTGAGAGAACAGCCAAACTAGGCCAAGCCAAACACACCTCCTCCCTTCTGCCCCCGCCCCGTACTCATAACGGGGGCTGGGGAGTTGCCTTCCAGATCTTACACTCTTATTTGGATCTATTTTTCCTGTTCTTCCTCGATCCCTAGAGGAAGCTAGGAGCCAGCACACAATGCTCGAGTGATATCAAAGAGCTCAGCAACGACCCCGGAAGGATGAATCATATGCCTGCTTCCCCCACAGAAGCCGGATTAGTCCTGAATAATGTTCTGCGGCAAAATTCCTCCCTTATAAAGGCATGCTTCGGTGGCCCCTTGTTCGTTGTCGCCCTTGGGACAAGTTTGTTTATTCTTTAGTCAGTTCGACGGCTTTGGAATTAAAATGACTATCCATAATGCCCCTGGCCTGATGTTCTTCTCATCCAGGAATTTTAACTTAAACGTACAAGAGTGAATTATAACTTACAGTCTTTAAGCAAAATATTGAACAAGGCTTTCATTAATTATTGTCATATAAATTTGCCTTACATGGTGGCAGGTTTCAAGCCGGATTCAAGTTTTTCCTCCCCGGCAACCTTTGTTCTCTTTGTAGTTTCAGCCTTAGGACTACAGAGTCCGGAAATCTTTTCAAAGAGCTGTATTAAATGCAGGGATAGATAGATACCTATTTTTTTCCCTGCCTTGTGAGGTTTTCTTCTTGTCTAGTGCTGCCCTCTGGTGACCATTCTGTAAATTACATACCATAGATTTTTTCCCCCCAGTTTAGCCTGAGGTAAATGAACAATCAACAATAAAAGTGTGTGCATATACTTCAGTTTGTCCGTGGTCATTTTTTATCTGTCAAATAAGAGTTCAGGCCAGATCATGCTCCATTCTAGAATTTTCCTGTTTAAAAATATTAAGCCTGGTTCAGGTATCCAGACATGCATCCCCATAAGCTATCTAAATTCGTTTCCCACTTGGGCTGAAAAGAGGAGATAAATTTAGCCCAAGAGACGAGACGAAGTTTTCCCTTAAAGCTTCCCTCTTTAATTTTAGAGACTGTCCTTCCTACATGCTTCAAATGATGGCCTTACGGGTAGCCTCTTAAGCATTCTTGCTTGCCCTCAGGCGGGAGTCCCGGCTGCTTGTTGGCAGTGCCGGCCTACCATATTCCTCTGATGCTCGGCAACACCTCAGCAGTGCTTATCGGAGGACACGGAGGAGGAGGAGGAGGACGAGGAGGCCAGTGAGTTCCCGTCTGACACCTTGTAGCTATCACCACAGTCCTAGAGCTGCGGAGCCTTCTGGGAATGGTTCATATGTTGGAGTGGATGAGCATGTTGGGAATGGACCAATGCATCCATGTCACAGGAGCCTTGAACCTGAGAGCATGACAGTGTGTGTGTGTGTGTGTGTGTGTGTGTGTGTGTGTGTGTGTGTGTGTAGACAGAAGGGAGAGTACAGTGACGGAGTTGACTTCATGTGGGAGTTAATGTTACGTCTCGGGCACCATTACTTCTCAGGAAACCCCATAGAGGAGGTGGGGCCTGTTGTCCTTATTTAATGAGGGAGAACCTCTGGCCTAAAAGAACTGAACAAGGCTGCTTGGCTTAAAGTGAGATCCATGCTGGCCGGACTCTAAGGCCGTCTGTCTTCCTAGATCACCGTTGGATGAGTAACTACTTAGAGGGCGTTAGAAGATGTCGGTGTCAGCTGATGGAGTCATCCTCGACTGGTGTTGGAACTGGCTGCTTTCCCAGCAACCTGGCGCTCTGATTGTATTTCAGGATGCAGGAGGGCCAGGAAGAGGAACCAGGGAGGAGACAAGTGGACTTGAACCACTCCTTAAGGACCTTAGGCTGGGGAGGGTCATTGCTCAGTGGGTTCACTTTTGTCAAGATTCTTCTTGTGTGCATAAGCTAATGAGTCTCTCCAAAGCACAAGGGTGCTCCAGCTGAGCCCCCTCCTGGCCAGTATCCAGGGCAGACATGGAGGAATACAGCTGGAGCAGGGCAGTCAGGCCAGCAGAGAACGTGCTCCATTACTCCGGTTGTCTTCCCAAGACAGTTATTGTGGTCCATTCTGAGAGACAGAGAGCACCGTGAGAGCACACTGCCCGGACTGCGGGCGTTCTCTTCTGCAGAGGGAAGCAGGCTGGGGAAAGGCCTCAGCTGTGAGCATCAGCTTGTTTTCTTTGTAACTTTGACAATAGCTGTGGATACTTGTGGAATCTGTGTGGTCCATCCCGTACTTCCTACTTGAAATAGTTCATTATTCAAAGTTGAAAGACCAAAGGGGCCTGTAGTCCTCAACGCTCACTGTCCTTTCTCTTTCACAGGTGACACAATTTCAGGAGAGACCCTTCCCGAAGATTTTCAGGCTCTAAGTTGGATTGGAAATCACACTTCTCTTTAGCCGGAGCTGCGCTGAAATGTCTTTCGGCCAAAGCCATGCATCGTCTGAAAACATTCTCTGAAGTCTATGTTGGGATGCTCCTGCCTCGGTTGCCCTTTAGAGGCATGACTAAAAACTACTATTGCAACAAGAGGGCCATGCATTACTTTAATGCACAGCCAGAAGGGAAAAGTAAGGTTAGATGCACTCTCAAGCACAAAACAGAGCCCTTGATGAAAAGATTTTGCTGGATGAATACCCCTAGCATTCTCCAGGTTTGTCTTGAAAACTGCTTCTGTGGGGAAGACAGTAAGATAAGGTCACACCGAATGAGTCTACTACCTCCATTAAAAAAAATTAGTTTCTCAGAGTTAGTATGTAAGGGGCTGGAGAGAGGGTTAAGTGGGCAAGATGTCTTCTTGCACCATCACAAGGGCCAGAGTGTGGATCCCAGAGTCTTACACAGGCCTGTGCCTGGGACCCCAGCTCCGAGGGAGTGGGGAAGAGACAGGAAAATGCTAGGGCTTGTTGACTTCCAGCCTAGGGAGGAAATACAAGCCCCAGAATCAGGGGGAGACCCTCCGAAGCATGGGTGGAATGGACCGGAGGAGGAAATGCCATGCCTTCTTCTGGCCTCGCTGCGTGTGTATAGGTGTGTGCACCCACATGAGCACACGTGCACGCACGTACAAATAAAGGTGAGCACACAAAATCATGGGCTTCATTGTGACATTTCTGAACAGACTTTTTTTTTTCCCCTCAGAGCTGAGGACCAAGCCCGGGGGGGCCTTGAGTTCGCTAGGCAAGCGCTCTACCACTGAGCTAAATCCCTAACCGGTCGCCGTGTGTGTGTGTGTGTGTGTGTGTGTGTGTGTGTGTGTGTGTGTGTGTGTGTATGGGGGGGGTGCCTGTGTGCATGCATGGGCATGCTCACATGAGTGTTGAGATCAGGGGACAACGTCAAGTATCATTCCTCAGCTGCTGTCTACATTTGGATGGCTCTTACTGGCCTGGAGCTCACCACATGGGCTAGGCTAATTGCCTAGCGATCCCCATTGATCTGCCTGCCTCTGCCTCCCCAGACCGGGGGATTACCAGCACATGCCAGCATGCTCAGCCTTGAAAATACAGGTTCTGGAAGACCAAACTCCAGCTCTCACACGTGCAAGGCTTGCACTTCCCTGGCTGAGCTATCACACCAATCCTCACTCCGGTCCGTTATCTTGGTTGAATATCACAGTTCCTCTGACGAGGGGCAGAAGCAGAGACAGACCAGGCTCAACCAACTAGGGGTCTGGTTGGTGACAAACTTCGCCCAAGCCCCAAATGCACCACCCAGAGACTTCTTCCCATCCTGTCCTTCCCTGCCCTCCTCAGCTCCCCGCTAGCCTCCGCTCCCACGATTCCTGACTCACCTGCTCATGAGACCACGTCCTTTCGGAGCCGTCTTTGACGCAGATGTCCAGCCTCAGCTCCGTCCCCGTGGCTCCGTGCTTGCTGTCCACGCACAAGTTGGCGGCCACGTTCCGAATCTGTGGCAGGAAGAACACATCCAGTGTGAGGCTGTGTCGCCGACCCCTGCCAATCCCCGGGGTTGATAAAGGTCCCCCTCGGTCTGTCTTTTTTGATGACCTGACTAGAAAGACACCTTGAATTTACACGCAGTGTGTCGAGGACTCGAAAAATGAGGATACAACATACGACATAGTCTATGTGAAAGAACATGACATAATCAAAAGATAAAATTATGACTGGCCGCAGTGAAGTGACTCTTTGATTATGTGACTGAGGGAATGGCGTAGAGCCCTGACCTCTATAATGAGAGAATTTTCTTGTTCAGGTAGTGCTTGACGTGGAATTTTAAGCACCTCTACCATTGCCCTCCCAGCGGGGAGAGAATCCCAGGCGGGTGTTACAGGTGAGGTGTATGGTTAAGGAAAGGGGTCCTCCAGCATGGCACAGTTCTAGGCAGGTTACGGTGACCTCAGGTTCCAGTTCGGCTGCAAGTGGCTGTTGTCATAGGCTAGCGTTTCTCCTGGGTGGTAAATTAGATCCTAGTGGATTAGCTCTACTGGCTGAAGATCATGTCCACATTTCATAGTACCGTTCTTTCCAATTATTCTGTTAATGCTAATAGGTAGGGGTAAGGAAAGGGGAAATAGTGAAAAAATATCAAGAGCGGAAATAGCGAGAGAAGTGGAGTCTGGACGGGGACAGATCTTCTGTAGTTTCCTTCTGCCTGGAGCGTCCGTCCACCAATCCTCTGCTGCCATTATCAACATAGCCTGTAGTAGGGCTGGATATCAGATACAGCTTGTGATTGTGTGTGTGTGTGTGTGTGTGTGTGTGTGTGTGTGTGTGTAGGCTACATAAGCCCTGTTACCTCAGGCCTTCAAGGTAGTCCCGAATCATTATCTCTTGGTGTGTTTAAACATGGAAAAAGATTAGGATGCACTCAACGTTTGCTTATGCTCTGATTCTTTTGCCTGGAATGAGTAGGTAAGTAAGATCACCCAACCAGGGCCCGTTCATATGGGAATCAGACAATGAAATAGAGCAGAGGTTGTGAACATCCTGGGAATTGTGAAAGGACCCAATGACACCAGGATGGATATAACACAGAGGGAGCTCTCTCAGGGTTCATGTATTCCAGGAGTACAGGTGGGTTACTGTCCTTCAGGAGGGGACAGAAGCAGCGTTCATTTCCTTATTCAGAGAAGCTGGCAAGAGGTCTACCAACTGCTACAGGACATCTGATGAGGTCTCTGACTCCTGTGTTAGGGCTATGTAAAAGAAAGCATTTTTTTTTTTTTTTGTCCAACATGGAATCCAGGGGCAGCTATGGATTCCCACCTCCAGTACAAGCCGCCCAGCAGCTCAGCATCTGCAGGTGGGTATGGCCAAGAATCCTTCTCTTCATTTTCCTGAGATCCACCACTCGAGCTTGAATCAGGGAAATTGCTTGCCAACCCCTTGCAAGCCAATTGCACCCTCTTCTTGGTTACGGGGAGATCCAGCGGTTCACGAGAGTAACCTTGAGTGCTCATCAGAGTACAGCTGACTGGTCATCACTTAAAGGAAATCTTAGCTTCATCTTTCCGAAACAAGGACGAGGGGGGACCTTTCTTTTGTGATTTTGAAAGGGGGAGGGGCAAGAGGGGAAGAAAAGCCTTTTATAAATCCACTTGTCATCACGTGTGTGATAACGCACACACGTGCCTCTTTAGTAAACTAGGAACACACAGAGTTAGAGTTCACTGTTGCTGTCATCTTTGTGTGTGTGCGTGTGCGTGTGCGTGTGTGTGCGTGTGTGAGTGTCTTGCTTTATACCTCAGACCATCCTGGAACTTCTGATCCTCTTGCTTCAGCCATCCCTACTGTGTCCGGTATGCTATTCCTGTCCGGAGCCTGGCCCCCTCTGAAAAGCTTCAGTTTTATCTCCTCCTCTGGGTCCCATATGTCACCTTTCTGAAGCTGTCTGTCACCAGCACAACAGCCTAGTAGCACTCTTGAGAAGCCTGTCTTTTCACCGCCGGGCCCTACAATCCCCTGGCACAGTCTCGTTGGAGAAGGGTTTTCAATGCGTACGCGGACATCACGTTCATGGCGCGGCTCTTCCCTCTATAAGGCAATCTAGGAGCCCCAAACCACGTGTACGAGGGGGAAAACAGCTGTCTGTGCATTTGTAACCACTTTACCGCAGAAGGAGAGGCTATCCCACAGGGTTAGCGCTGGAGCCGGCCCATCCGCGCGACGCTGCTCTTAGAAACGGAGAAAGGAGATAGCATCCCAAGCTAGGGACAGGAGTGGTGACTCCTCCAGCTCAGCCGGTGGATGCGACCAACCCTCCCAGAGAGCTTTGCTTTGTCTCCCAAAGTTAGGAACCCAAAAGGTCTCTGGCAGGGATGGAGGACCCCATTTTCTAAGCTCTCGAATTTTCTAAATTCTCACTCAAATGGCAGCTGTGTAGACAACGGAATAAACTGCTTTGCGAGCCAAATTTCAGGTTTCGAAGGCGTAATTGTCTACATCTGTGTAAATTTCAGCACCAAGCTGTGCTGGAGAGGAAATACTGGGAGTTCAGGACAGGACACGGTAGACAGCTGGGACGAGACGAACAGCCGGCCATGCGCGCTTCCTTCTTTCCCTTTGTCTGTGTGGAGCATGCGTTCTGAATCTCTCCCTTTACTCACAAGCACAGCTCCATCAAAAGAAAAAGGGGAGCAGGATTCCAACAGAAGAAAGGTGTAAAGACTGGAGGCATTGCTATTTACAAATGATTTTATTTGGTCTGGGCTCCACACTGTGTCTGCAAGTAAGGCAGTTTACACACACACGCACACACACACACACACACACACACACACACACACACACACACCCTCAAATCTAGGACACCGTCTAGTGCATAAATCTGTGAGAGAGGACATCACTTTCAGGCTTCAATCCTTTGCTGCTGCCCAGCTCCAGGGCTTGACATCATTAAATTGCATCCAGGGATCTGGAGGAGGCTAAGCAGGATTAGAAAAAGTGAAGTAGTGCTCGACTAGGCAGGGGTAGGAGGAAGGTGAAGTCAGGGAGAAGGAACCATGATGGATGCCAGGAGCGCAGAAATATGGTCCCTTTGGGTAAGGGTTAGGAAAGGGCAGAGAATAAAGGTGCTTGTTGGGTATACAAGAAGAGTCAGGTTCAAGTTCAACAAACATTCATTCCCCCACCCGGGAAGCTTTGAGGGAATCTCACTCGGTGCAGTGATTGCCTACATGTCCAGGTCCCATCCTCAGTACCAAATATGGTGGCACACATCTGTAATTCCAGCACTCCAGAGGTGGAGGCAGGCACACCTGCTGTAATTCCAGGAGGCAGAAGGAGGAGGATCAGAAGGGCAAAGTCTATCAAATTTATTGAGTTTGAGGAACATCATGGAATACTAGAGATCTTGTCTTAAAAACAAAATGAGCTAAAACCCAAATGAGATAAAAGAGAGATCTGGGCATAGTGGTATATGTCTTCAGCTCCAGAATCAGAAGGAAACAGATCTCTGTGAATTTGAGGCTAGCCAAGGCTACATAGTGAGTCCTTGTTGTGAAGGAGGTGGGGGAACTAGAAGACGAATAATAATAATAATAATAATAATAATAATAATAATAATGAGAGGGAGAAGGAGAAGGAGAGGAAGAAGAGGGAAAGGAGAAAGGGAGAAGAGGACGAGAGGAAAAGAAAAGGGAGAAGTGGAGCAGAGAGGAGGAATGTAGAAAAATATCAAGTAATGAAGTGATTCATAGATGTAGAATTGGCCACCCATTTGTAAATTGTATTTATTTATTTATTTATTTTTGCCAATTTGCCAAGTGGATGTTAGGTTAGACAAAAATGATAGGCTTAACAAACAAGAACCATGGTTTGTTAATTACGCCTAATACCATTGGGGCCTTCTAAATGAAATAGTAGATTCATCACTCACTCAACTAATAAGTACCTGCTGTGTCCAGGCCATAGATACCCGTCACAGAGAAGAGAGAAGAGGAAGAATCCATCTCCTCTGTGCTGGAGCCCAGAGTATAGTCAGGACATTAACAAGCACGTGCAAGGAAGGGAGGCCTGAACCTCCCAGCATTTCTAGCTGCAAATTTTAAATATGTTCCTCTTCATGGAGTATGGGTGAATTGGCAAGTGTTCTGGCTAGTTGAGAGGCATTTCCTCAATTTGTGATTGATGGTAGAGGACCCAGGCCATTGTGGGTGGTGCCATCCCTGGGCTGGTGGTCCTGGGTATTATAAGAAAGTAGATTGAGCAAGCCATGAGGAGTAAGCCAGTAAGCAGCACTCCTCCATGGCCTCTGCATCAGCCCCTGCCTGCAGCTTCTGGCCCTGTTTGAGTTCCTGCCCTCACCTCCTTCAGTGAGGAACAAGGAAGTACACGCCAAACAAACCTTCTCATTCTCAACTTGCTTTTGGTCAGTGTTTCACCATAGCAACAGCAATCCAAACTAAGACAGTAAAGTAATTTTTTTTTTGCATAATTAGATAGAAAAGACAGGAGTGCAGGGTGGAGAGAGAATTGAGCAGGCAGGTCTGGGCTCTGTTCATGCGATAAAAAAGGAGTTTCTCCACAATCTTGGTCATACACCCCTTTGTAAAGTTCAGCTTGCCCATTCATTAAAAACAAAACAAAAACCAAAAAAACAAACAAACTCCAAAACCCCCAAAACTATGTTCTATTATATGAAAGAATTTTAAACAAAAACATTGAAAAAACCCATATCCAAGGAGTGCTTTGATATGAAAGAGGCTTTAAGAATATGGATGAAAATCCAGAGACTAAGAGAAGGAAATGGCCTCTGCTCACCAGGAGCCAATACTCCCAATGGGGAGGCATCACTGAAACCATCTTCTCAAGAGACAACATGTTTCTCCTCCTTAGTTTTTATTGTTAACTTGACAGGATCTTGGATCATCTGGGAAGAGGGAACCTCCACAAAAGGATTACATCATTAAGATTGGCCTGAGGCCATACCTTTGAGAGCCTGATT